AGCTAGCGCTTTGGCATTTTCAGTTGTCTGTCACTGCTCCGATAATCGCCGCTGATCCGAGATCGACGATGCTGTCGTCCATGTTTCTGTGGTGTTTGAATGTAAGTGTATTAATAATGTGAAATTTCAAATTATAATTTGTAATTTTTTTATCTTACCATAGTTGGTAAATCTTACAGGATGCCCTGACGGAAGAAACCTACAATGCTGAACTGGCAGGTCTGAAGTGTGAACTTGAGCTAGGAACCTTTGGAACAAATCTAAAAGTGAGGGGTCGTGCAGGAAATCAGGAGCCGCTTCTAATTTTGCTTGTGTGTTTTGTTGTGCCGTGTTCCTTTGTTTCCCTAATGGGTTATGTGCCGTGTTTTCGAGTCTTACGATGGCCTGAATGAGGTCCGAGGTTGTTCTGTTCAAGTAGAGCTTGTGTACCCCTTGTATGTCCTCCTTTATTCTCTAATATGGAGTGGAACTGTATAGGTGTCCAATACATTTTTCTGATTAGCTGCAAATTAGAAAAATGAATCGGATACTTATTCAGATTCAAGCAATGGTTACATCTGAATTTGGAATCGAGTATGAAAACGGGCAAAATAGAAATTCACCTTTTGTTGTTATTTTGATCGGCATTTTGTTGCTTCACTAGTCCTGTTCATTAGCGAGAAGCACTTAACTTTATTTACGACACCGTTATTTATTGCTGTCTTCACGCTTACTCACCACGGGCTAACATTGCAATAGGTCTGCTAACTCTCTGAACGCATTAGTGACGTTCACAGTGCATCACATTTCCGTACTGCCTTCCAACTTGGCCTTGTATGTGCATTAACCGTTACTAATCGTTACTAACAAAATCGTTGACCATTGTGATTTTTTTAGCATAATAGTTGCTGACTTTTTTTGGATTTAATTGATGTTCATTTTTAGGTGACAGGGTATGACGAGAAGCAACCGTTGTTTGTAGAACACCTAGTCAAGCGGATGACCGACTTCAAGCCAGGTCTGTTGAAAGTCTGCTATTGAAAAGTATTTGATTTTATCTCTCTTTCTTCTGATCTCTCAAATTCTTATATCAGTAGTTGAAGAGACTTCTAATATAAGTGAAAGTGGCTGCAAGTAGCTTCCCAAGCACATTTTCAAAGGACTTTGGGTTCTACTTTCGGCTTGAAAAAAGGCTGTGATGTGAAAACTTTGATCAGAAGGACGCATACTTTGAAATATGCCGTCAGCTGTTGATCAAGCGATCCTGAGCCCATAGAAATTCCCATACCTTCACTCGTTTCTGTTTATAAATTTGATTTTGAGCTGGTTGTCATGTAGTTTCCATTCATTCGGAGGGAGGCTATTTTTTAAATTCCACTCAATTTAGATCCACTGCGCTTTGAAGTGTTGTTCGATGCGATCAAGCGCGCACTGGAGAATTTTGCTCATTCGCAACCGTACACTTTGTCACAGCATTATATCCAACTGCTGCTAAGTGACAAGTTTTGGAGTAAGGAGCAGCTGCTTGCGGTTTGTAAAGGTAAACCTTTTT